GGGGAAGCAAAGCCGATGCAGTTTCTCGACCTTCACACCTGCTGCCGGCCTCGTCGATGATCAAGAGCGTTAATACCCCCCTGCCCGTTCTTCCCCAAGTCGCACCACCATCCCCAACCCCCGAAGGATGCCCAACACGTTGGCCCCTACGGTGCGAACCGGCGAGGCGCTGTGCTTCATTAGCATTTAAAAAAATACACCATCACCTGTCAGGAGCTCGCCGTTGCCACAGTAACAAAGGCTGCTGCCCCGCAACAGATAGATTGTCATTCAACCCAACCGCAGCGATTTGTAGGTCCATTAATTACACTCCTTTCACACACCACTTCCCATCCCTGGGAACAAAAGAAAGGTGAAGCAGGACGTCCATGTTTTTTTTTTTTTTTTTTTTTTTGCTGGAACATCAATGTCAGATTATGCTGTCCTGCGTTCAGCTTTTGCCCCCGCCGCCTCGCTATCTCCGTGCCCTAGAGATAGACGATTAATTACAACAGTGTGGGGAAGTGGGTGAATCGGGAATGGGGGGGTGACATTGATGGCAGCGTGTGTGTACACTGTCGCCTCCAACTTTACGTAAGAGCCACGGCCGTGAAATTGGCGGAACGTAACACGAGGGACGACCGATGCCAGTCAAAAGATGTCCATTTCCTCTCCCGCTATTGCACTGCAATTAGCTCACCCCGCTGCTGTTTTGACTCTAATGACTGACTGGAAAAGATCTGCTTGTTTGTTGCAACGTGATACTCACTTGAATGCTGAGCATTCGCACGTGATGGACACGCCGTGTAGGAGTACAATGGGCGTGTGAGTGCTCATGAGGCTCATGCTAATGGGTTGGAAAGGGCAGCGCAGCCAGAAACAGCAACTCCTTCATATTTAGCCCTTCTGAGTCCGAATGCCAGAGCGAGTGTTTTGTTTAGTCGTTTGTTGGTTGATGATGAGCCACTAAATATAGTCTCTGCACTCACTATATTAAATAAGGTTCCTGAGACAAAAGGTACCAAATATGCTTCCATTCCAGATACACTACACACAAAGTAAACGGCCGTTTCCCCCCTGATGAATACAGACAAGAATGGATCCTGAGACTTTACAGTCGCTCACAGATGTCCCTGACACTTTGGGTGACAAATATGGTTCGCTCGAGTACCCAATATGCTCTTCAAAATATATCATGTATGGTTCCTCATATATGATATTCAATATGGTTCCAGGTCCAGAATGCACCCAAAAAATGGTTTATGTTCATAATGTACAAAATGTAGTTACGTATTTCCGTACTATAAGGCGCACCTAAAAGCATTCCATTTTCTCAAAATCCGACAGGGCGCCTTATAATCTGGTGCACCTTACATATGGAACAATATTCTGACTTCTTGGATGTAGTATTTTAAATGTTCTGTAAAGCGCTTTGTTACAGCTGCTCGATATAAACAAAGCTGTATTGTATTGTATTCCCTATAGTATAGCTGCGTCTAAAATTTGAATAAACATAAGGAGTTCTTTTACTTTAGATAGGACCAAATATTATAACTGATTAATCAATAAAGTTGTCACATGCAGAACAAAGGGCGGCAAATTGCCTTGGGGGAGGTATGCTATTCTTGCAGACTTTGCATAATTCTAAAGGGGTAGCATTACAAATGACCCAAAGATCACGCGCTCAATAAAATATTTAGTTTTACAATTATGCAGATTTGGAGCAATGCCCGTGCATGTGTGGGCCCGTCGAAGAACTTGGACGCCGATGAGTAATGTATATGTTTGATCAGCATGTAATTGGCATGACTAATCTGTCACATTCTGCAACTTAATTAAAGGAATAAATCATAATATCCGCATGTCACACACCGCCGGAATTTGCCTTTCATTAGCCAACAAGGCAAATGAAAGTTCACCAAATGTACATCTGGCCGTTGAACAAGACAAATTTGATCAGGTCTCGTTGAACTCAGCGGAGCTGTCTAAATAGTATACCAAGACGCAGCCTATTTCGAGGAAGTCGGAAATTGCAAGGAGAATTCAATCGCCATTATTTACGTGGATGAATGTATGTTTTTCTACTGTCAAGGTTAACTTTTATTTAATGGCTTCATGAATGTCCTCGCTATGCAACTTGTGTTTGTTTATTGCCTCAGATGAAGTATTATGTTCCTTTTCTGGTATTTAATGGACCAATTATGGTGTCTGAAAGATAAATTACAAAACATGATTCCTTTCTAGATTCTTGAGGTCCCGAATAATCGACCAGTGTCCCTTTTCCGAATACTCAAGTTTTGCTTCCGGTTGTGTTACATCAGGTACTTAAGGTCTCATGATCCTTTTTCTGTTTGTCTCCAGCAGGTGGCATCAGAGGGCATTTTTTACGTTTTCTCGTTCCTTTTGCAAACGCTTTTGGTTTCTGCCGCATTTTCCTGGTTCTTTGTTAGCAGCGGGCTGAGTTGTACTTACAGTCCATAATTTAGTACCTCGAGTGACAAGAAAAATATGATTCCTTTCCTTTCTGTATACGTACAAAGAGGTCCCGAAAATAGTTCCTGATATTTTAAATATCGGCTGATATTTACGTTATCAAACACGGTTACTTGCCTGATCCATGAATTATTAAATATGGGACAGAAATGATGTAGCACTGATCAAATATGGTTGAGCTCCCGACAGAGGTCTGTTCACGCCCTGTCGGTGTCATGTCATTCTCTCCGCAGTGACATGTGCGCTGACATTTATTTTCAACTCTTGATGGTTTGCGATGTGCCTCCAAGCCGGTCCCTTGCAGGTGGTGGCGGGAATTATCACAGTACGACATGGCTCTTTCGTTGCATTCACCAAGTGTCACTGATGTACGAGAGCGCAACCGGGCATTTTAGACAAATACGACAGACAAATGCACCTGAAGAATGGACATCTCCCGCAGGCCTATAGCTAAGAACGCGCAGAAATAGCATGTAAGCATGCCAAAATTTTTTTCTATTTTAAGAGCTATAATTTCAAGTGTCTTGCGCTACATTTCTCTCATTGCCTCCAATGGTGTTTCTGTATTTCTCTCCGTTCCTTTGCGGATGAGATTTCAGAGTCCACCTTGATTTAATGAGACCTAAACAATCTCCGAAGCACATTTTTATCGTCTTAAACAAACTCATGATGTCTTAATTGGCTCCTCCCGCCCCCCCACCTCCTCTAATTTCCACCCTGAGATTCTCTCTCGCACTTCCTTCTCGCTGAAGAATTCACTCGCGTGACTTGTCATGTCAAATGGAGATGTATGACCATCCGCGACGGAGCCTCGACGCATTGCAGGGTCTCAGGTGTCAGCGGCCATTTCCCGGCCAGCGACCCCGGCGCAACGAGATTACGTCCATTTATCTGATTCCACGTTGCTTCTAAACCTATTTCGACTGTCGTTCAAGTCCGCGAGTGGGTCATTAGTCCGACATCTGTTTTGTTTTGTAGCAAAACGCTGCCGGTGTCTGATCGGAGGGCAGGACGAAACGTTGCGCGCCAGGCTCATTTTCTTGTCACATTCTAAGAGAGCCAGGCTGGACAAGACTGATGTTAATTGTGGCAAGGTCTCACACTTAGATGCTATTAAACCATCAAGTTTGAAAAGCCTTCAAAAAACACCATGCCAACTCTCTGCTATGTAACTATTATCGCCTTAAAAGACAAAAAATCGGATTCGACAGATTTAGATGTGGTCACACTAGGCAGTTGATGACGTAACAGGTAGAAAACTGTCCCGGTGGAAAAAAGTGTTTGATCCCTGTACTGCCCTCAAGCATCATGAATCAGTCATACTTGTCAATGTAGTTCTTTTCTTCAGGTACAAAAAAAAATAAGTTTCATTCCTCAGAGCAAAAGCCTCCTGACACGTAAGGTACTGAAAAATGTCTGTGGCCCATACGGTCCTAGAAATTGACCTGGCACCAAATGCGGTTTCTTTCATGATACTTGAGGTACCAAGTAAGATCCGTGATACACGAGGAACAAAAGATTCACACGACACCAGATATGTGATACACAATCCTTATGGCACTAAATGTAACAGATATGATTATTGACAATCATGTTTCATCAGTGAGAATGATATGAAAGTGAGCGTTTATATTACATAAAGGTCCTTACTTTTTTCATCCTCTGGGGCTTCTTTCTCAGAGTCCTCAACATGGACACGTGCAATGACAAGAACACTTTTTTTTCATGACGATGGCCTATGGCCTTTTCCTTATAACAGAGCACAATGGAAATCAATTAATTCCTTCAGCGCCGCTTGATTGTTCTGAAATGAGACCGACTTTGGCATTTTTGTTTTCTTTAAAAAAAAAAAAAAAAATCACAAGGAGGCAAACTTTTAGAGATACCCGCGGGGGCCATCGAGCACCTTTATTTACTCTGTCATATCCTGTCAGCGTGAATAAGCTCCTCATTCGATGTCAGGTTTCAAACGCGTAAACAGCCATTGTTTTTTTGTTTTTTTTTTCATCCACCGCTGGGTAAAAATTCTGATTAGTCTGACAGGACCCCCCGCCCCCACACACACACCCTCAAGTGGGATGTTAGCAGACTACCTCTGAAGAGATGACGGCATTGACGACTTTGACCGATAATTACCCCGCTGTCCCATCCCACCCGCCCGTTCCGCCGGAGGAACCATCCTACATTCAAAGCGGGCTGCAGATGTTCCCTGGCAAAATGCCTGACGAGGAGCAAACAAGACAGTCGAGTGCCGAGGCGGGTCGGAAGGATCAAAGTCGCCGGGATGAAGGGGAGCGGGGAGGTTGAGCGGCAGCAGGGGTGGGAATCGGGGATCCAACCGGTGCTGAAGCTGTTGCTCTTAATAAGGACCAATGGAAACGCGTTGAATATGGATCTCGCGCACGTCGGCATGAGGCTCCTTGTGGGTCGCGCACCCACTCCGTTTGCTGCCATGAAGCATTTATGTGATTTGTTGCCCGGCAGTTTGGCTCTTTTTACACCGCAAGCATGAATGTTCAATGTCTCTTTGCGTGTCGCGACTCGAGGCAGTCACACTTTATTAGATTCGATCTGACGACGCAACACAAACACTTTGCTTCATCCCCCGCAATTAGCCGCATTGCGCAAGGAGTAAAATATGATTCCCGATACCGAAGGAAGCAAATAGGATTTAGCCGATGCCGCAGGCACAAATTATGGTTCCTGATACTTTGGATTGAAAATATCCATCCTCTTCTGATACCTACCTAGCGCGTCGACCTTACAGTGCAGAGGTCGTGGGTTTGATCCCGGCTCCGGCCTTCCTGTGTGGAGTTTGCATGTTCGCCCCAGGCCTGCGTGGGTTTACTCCGGGTACTCCGGTTTCCTCTCACATTCCAAAAACATGAATGGCTGCTTCTTTTTCTGAAATCAAAATGGTCCCAACTTAATGATGGATCGTCTTGGTCTCTTTTTGGATTATTACTTTTGTCTTGCTGGATCTCGCTGCCTGATTTAAAGAACTTCCGAGAAGCTGGACTGTTTGATGGACTTTTCTCCCTGCCTACCCCTTTTTTTTTTGTGCTGATGATGCCGATTGCCTTTTACTGGTTTCGGCTTTGCAATTAAAGACATTTCCCTTGCACAATAAATTTCCAATTTTCCCGCTTCCAATGGTCCAGTAAGGTTACGTCCTGATTTCCCATCCCCAGCCTGCCAAATTGTGAAAATTCACCAGTGGCTTTTTTTTTTTTGCGCAGTGGGAAGACCCCATGCCTGCCGCCCCCCCAATGCACCCCCCTCTGTCCCATTATCTGAATGTGACTGCAAATGTGCCTCTGCTGGTTTTGGTGCAGATAAGAGCCTGCAAGACAAAAGGCTTGCTTCCCAGTCAGGTAGATCCTCAGGCGCTCTCGTCTCCTGAAGGAAAACCACCGTAGGGTTAGTTTAGGCAAAACGATGAATTTAAAATGTGTGCAGAACCTGAAAGGTGTTAAATGAATGAGGTTTTCCCCAAAAGGACTTCATTATCCTTAAAAATGCAACTTCATCTTGCAATCTGCCATTCACAGGTCATAAATGTTTCGCAAAATAAGGATAATTTACAGCTTTACATTTATGCATAAGGTAGAGCGAACATGAGATGTGTTTGTACCTTTTGTACTGTAATCATGGAGTAGGCTGAGCTTTTTTCTTCTTTTTTTTTTCTCCCAGGCTACTTTGCCGCCTTCACAGAGTGCCTCAATAGATGTTGTATGCTATGAAATCCCAACACTATCTATCAAGGCATTTTGGAACAAAAATGCGCCACTCGGCTCAAAATATGGAAGAGGCCCTGTTGTCTTCAGGGGCTGCTTTGCTCCATCCGACAGTGTGCCTCAAATCTGTGCAGGGTACAATGGGAATCTCAAGAGTATGAAGACATTCTGAAGTGAAATGTTCTGCCAAGTGTCCGACGGCTCTACCG